ATAGGAGCGGTTATTAGTTTTTCTTTTAATATATTAAAGGCGTTCAAATTATCTAGATTAAAATTAAATAAGACATATTTGTTTAGAAGATGGCATAGAGGCTTGGCAATTTTTGATAAATTTTTAATATATCGCCTATAAAAACCAGCACGTCCCAAAAAAATTCTAACTCCCCTTACTATGGTAGGAGAAGGTATTTTAGAAATTACTTGAATCTTTGTTGGGTCTACTTTCATGTCATTTTTAGATATCTTATGAACAATAACAATGCCTCATACGACCATGAATTGACATTTTTCTCAATTGAGAAAAAGGATGGTCTCTTCACAGCGTTTCATTACCCTTGCTAAATGATCCAAACATGACTTAAATGTGGTTCCAAACATTGAGAAATTGTCCATAAAAACTTATATCTCTTTCTCAATTTAGTCACAGAAAATAGACATCATGCACCTCTGGAAAAGTAGCAGGTGCATTACACAACCCAAAGGGCATTATTCTGACAGCACAAGTCCCATAAGGACTCATGAATGTAGTCTTTTCTTGATCCTTAAGAACTATAAGAATTTAGTGATATTCTGAATATCTATCTAAAAAAATTATATTGGTGGCTAGCTAATCTATCCAACATCTATTCCAAAAAAGGTATTGACCAAAGGAAAATATGCTGAGATTTTCATACCTATTTTACACTATTTTTGATGATATTGCACTTTAAAGAAGGGTATTTTTGATGTTGTGTTGCAGGTATGATGAATTATGGTCATTGGAGCAAAAAGATGTAAAAATGGTGCAATTTGGAGCAAAAACGAGCAAGAAATGAAATTTTGCCCTGTCACCTTTCGATAAGTCTTTTGATGCTTAATCTCTTTTACACTTCTTGCATATCTTTGAATGAGATTAAACTTTAAAGGAAGGTTGTTTTCATGCTTATTTTGTAGAGCTATCTGTTAGGAACATAACGCAACTGAAATGGGGCAAACGGAGCTAAAACAGAGTAAACAAAGTGGTAAACAAAGTGAACCGGTGGAGCTGCGCAGTCTGCTCGCCGACGGCGCCCAAAACGGCGCCGACAGCGCCCAAAACGGCCCCGACGGAGAGAGTTACACCGACGGCGAGATTTACCTAAAAAGACCAAAAAATGACAGAAAAGCTTGCCGACGGCGCCCGGGACGACTATGGACGACTTTTGGCGGTTATGGGCCGAAATTCAACGTATTTGGACGCTTTTTGAAAGGACTCTTGTGGCAACTCTTCAAACTTCGTCCCTAAACTTTAAAAGAATGAATTTAGGTTAGAAAAAGAGGGTTTTGTGTGAGAGGAATGTTAGGAAAAGTGTGGAGAAAGTTTA